CAAGTGTAGCTAACGACACCAGCTGTCGTACTCGCTTTTTGTTGATTTCACCAAGGTATTTCTTACGGTGAACCGCGAGGCATTGCGGCTAGTGTTGGGTAAGTTTGTTGCCCGCGTAAGTTTGTAAGTTTAATTGAATGTCTGCGCAGTGGTATGCGAGCGAGGGTGCAGCTGAGTTGTGAGACCTCGGATGACTTTGCAATTGTCTCTGGTGTGAAGCAAGGCCGTGTCTTAGATATTGCTCTTGTTAATATATATCTTCTGCCATGCTGTCTTGTGCTTTTGATGCGGCGTGTGCTTACGGTGTTCGTGTGGAGCACCATATTGATGTTGGGTTACTGAACATCCGTCGTTTCGGTGCGAGAACTCTAGTCTGTGAGACAACTATCGGTATGTTGCTGTTTGCTGACGACTGTGCGTTGTTTGCACACAGCGCGGATGAGTCGCAGCATATGACTTGTGCTCTGGCTTCGACAGCGGCCAAATTCGGGCTCACCATAAACACAAACAAAACTGTATGTCTCTTTCAGCTTTCACCGGACGTCCAGTCTTCAAAATTGTCATAAACCAGCATTAGTACCGAAGTATTAGAAACCACCTCCCACTTCTGCTACCTTGGGAGTATGATGTCGACTGATCAGCAGTTACTCATTGAGCTGCGTATCCGCGTGCCGAAGGCAGCCGTCGCATTCGGGAAGCTAGAGTACCGAGTGTGGAACAACCATCAGCTTACCATTTGCACGAAGCTGATGGTGTACAAATCCATGGTGCTGTCCGTTCTTCTATACGGCAGTGAAACGTGGATGATGTACCGTCGGGATGTGAGATATCTCGAGCGGTTCCATCAGCAGTGTTTGCGATGAATTTTGCGCATCGGTTGGGGTGATAGAGTTGCTGACACGGAAGTGTTGCAACAAAGTGGGATGTATGCAGTGGAGTGCAAAATTTTGCTGAGACACCTGAGGTGGCTTGGTCATGTGTGGCGTATGGATTCGACTCGGATACCGAAACAACTCTTATACATTCAGCTGAGTATTGGGAAGCGGCATATGGGGAAACCAAAGTTACGTTAGCAGCACATGATTAAAGTGAGCCTCTCAAGTTCTAATCTTGATTGCAAGTCATGGGAATCGAAGGCGGTTTATCGGCGTGCATGGCGCGATCTAATCACGAAGGCAGTTGCCGAAGTGCGGGAGAAAGAATTCATACATGCAGAGAAGAAGCGGTAAGCACCGATGGGTTGTACTCCATCGATATCCAGCGCATGGTGCTGTAGCACATGCGGTCGCGAGAGCCTGAGTCAGGACGACTAACGAGCGACGACGGGTCCTGCAGAGAACGTACGCAGAACCGGCGCAATTTTTGCAGGTACGGTGCATTCGATTTACTGACAGCGTGCTTGCATGCTAAGTCTATTTATTTCAGGTAGTTGGTTTTCAATTTTGTCCTAATGCTTTTCTTTCTCATGTAAATGCCTATTTATACTCTCTTCTGTAAACTTGCACACTTTGCGTAAGCCAACTATAGTTAATTTCGACAACATTTTCGTGTTTGTGGCATTTCCGTAGAAAAACAATTTCCGACCTCGTGAACTTATCTCGGATTCGTTTATATACGGCTTTTTCATACTTTCGTTAATTTACGATTTATGTCACCGTTTCCTTATGCAGTACTCGATTTATTTTATTCGTTATCTTTCACACAAGTGATTGGCTGTTGCTTGATATCCCCGGTGTGGCTGCGCTTGATGTGCATGTTGGCGAGGTGCCTAGCTGTCTATTACCCACTGCCTCGTTCATACTGGCTCTAGGAGACAGTTGGTCGTTGCTGGAGCGGAGGGGTGCACGGTTCTTTTGGCCGTGTTAGGATCAAAGAGTGATTCCAAGCACTCAGTGTGGAGCGGACTACGGTCCAGCCACCTTCTTGTGTGCGCTTGATTCCCCAAATACAGCGTGGTTGTGTTTGCCTGTGAAGGAATGTGGGCCGGCTCCGTTGATGAAACGTGGCTCCCATCCACATGCCTCCCGGTCTTATTCCTTCGGGTTTACACTGGATATGGGGTGTGGTTGGAGCTGTGGGTGGTGCAGCGCAAGCCACCCATGGTCCCTCTGTAGGCGCAGGCATCCTGTGGTTGGGCACAGTGACAGGCAAATCCGAAACCGGAAGCCGCCAACGATATATATATATATATATATATATATATATATATATATATATATATATATATATATATATATATATACATATATATATCAGATAGACCAAACAGATAGACACCAATGTATGTAATTCAACCATTGCACCGTGCTGGTGTTGTGAGAACAAGATTCGCGTTGTCTTATCGTCGCAGTCGGGCTACCATCGAATGACTGATGTGTTGGACGGGCTTCTATCTCCAGATGAGGTGACGAATCGTGCTGCGTTTGATGCATGGTTCCAAACCGTCCGATGACTCCGCATCGATTGCTGTCGCCGTGGAAAAGCTCTCCGTTGATGAGACGGCAGTTTAAAAACCAAGAAGTGGTTTGATCAGGGAGTTGGAGATTACATGAGACGCTACAAACTAGTATTTGTGTTTCGTGACCCGGTCTGAGAGAACACTGGGTGAGAGCTAGCACCTGTGACTCGGATCGGAGTCACCACAAGAACTAGGGCGAATGGGGCCCAGGGTTTGGACGATCGTTAATGCACATCACTGATATGTTGCGCAATGGCTGACCTGAGAGGAATGGTTTCACAACGGAGGGAAGATAAGAACACACAAGACGATGATACTTTTCGACTACTAACCACGAGAATAAGGAGTTGTGAGTATGTTCCCAGAATCATAAGGTAGTAGAAGCATGTCAAACGCGGGAGTATAGGTGTCATGTAGCGAGAGTATTCGCTTTGGACCAGTCGCACACAATATGAGTAGGTTAAGGATAACCAACGTACGATAAACCACAGCTGAGCTTCAGCGAGTTTGTAGATATTAGTGATCAGAGAGCACCTGGTTTCTCACGTACGGTTTCAGGCCGCGAACAGGGAATGGATTCTCCCGGTGACAGGGACAAACCGTGGTGCATGTGCTCATTGCTACCAAGCTGAACTAATCAACCGTAAGCTGCTGTGTCCCCCGAGTAACTAAGGGAAACATCGGCCTCTCCTAATCCTAGTAATAAGGCTCTGGCGACCGAGTTTGTTTGACATGTCGCAGTTGACCAGTCCGGTAACTCTGAAGGCACAACCTGGTGTAGCTCACGAAAACATGAAAATCGGTGTGGCACATGGAGGTCTAACATCATCGTAGTATCAATCAATCGTTTAGATGTTCTTGCTTTAATCTGTTGGCTATTTGATGCAGTTTGGTAATCGAGGACTGTCGGTTGATGCGCGAAATGTCATATAGGCATGCAAAGAAAGCGCGTGATTACAGCTTCAATTATCGCATGCGAATAGACAGTTAATGAGTATTTTCCCGTAAAGAACCGAAGGTATTCAGTGCGAAAAGGGAGCCTAAGTTCCCACAGAAGGGCAATACGTCACGGTGAAAACAAGCGGGTCGGTAGCAGCTGCCGTGATCCACCAAGACAAACGATCCAAAAATGCTAAAGTACATTAGCCTGCGTTGGTTTTCCATTTCAGACGGTTGAATCATAATCCCGGCAGCAGGTTGAACATTGTGATTAGGCTCGTGGGAAAGGGCGAGGAAAGGATTCTAATTTAAGATAATGATAGTATTCACTAAAGGTATATTGTGTAATACAATTTGTTCATCTAAAGAAGCAATAAGGCATGACCATCTACCGAATGTGAAGTGATAATGGAGAAATGAACATTCAAAATCAAGCAGAAAAGAAGTCAGACTGAGAGATAATGTGGTTTGGTTCTAAAAGCTCGCCAGTTAAAACAGTGATCAATGGGTGAAGTAACATTCACATCCAAAATACGGAGACGAAACGAAGTGAGAGAGAAAGCAAATGAGGGGACAACAATACGGACAACATCATTGCCAACTGAATGGAAAGAAACATCACCCGTAACAGGAGTGAGAATGGAATGCGAATGCATTTCAGCTGAAGGACAGCCAATAGCAAATGGCCAATGTGGAAATCTCTCCTCTGATGAGAGATCGATGAGGAATAGACACTAGCGAAGCTGCGTCAGGGAGTGAGTACTGATGCAAAGAAAAATATAAATAAAGGTGAAGCAGACAACAAAAAATAAACACGTGGACAACAGTGGTAATAAGGAAGAAAAAATAAGCGGAAAATATCGGAGAGGCAGGGAAACCACAACAGCCCACCCAGAACACGAAGAGCGAGCTGCCTACAAAAAACGTGCATCTTGAGCACAGTATCGTGCTGCGGTGCAACCATTTCCAGGAGGCGAGTGCGAATGCTGTTGATGAATCCGAATGGGCGCAGTAGCGAAAGCCAGTGTGTGCACGGGAGGCTTAAACGCAAACCTCCCATTGTAACACGGAAGTGTCCGATCCACCAGCAGAAATCAAACGGGACCCATCGTAAAGAAATTTCACGTTCGTGACATGACTGGAGTGGCCATTGAATGCGTGACTTTGTGCCTTTCGAGGTATAGAGGGAAAAGCAAGAATCGAATGATGTCAGGATTCAACTAGTAGCAACACAAGCAGAGGACTGTCTACCGAAAATGATGTGAGCTATGCAACACATGGAATGAAGGGTAGGGAGTCCCTCAGGAAAAAAGAAGCTGTTTGTTATGATGTAGACCAATTGCAACAATAGCAACGAAGGACGTCTTCAATACCGGAACATGAATCTTCGTGAATATAACAGACCCCTGATGAAGGGGCTATGGGAGACTGCAATTGTCGCTACGCGGCGGAGTGGAGTGGGAGAACAAGATGTTCTCATTGAACATGAAAAAGCTGGTAGATGAACAAGGGTGTGAAGGCGTCTGAAGTTGTTAAAATTCAGGCATGCGAGACGGTCTTTATGACATCTGGAATCTCATGTTGAGTAATCAACGCTGACGAATGAACGAGTGCGTGAAAAATTAAGGGAGGAGCAGTCGGAACTATGAAGGCCGCAACAAGAAACAGTGAAGATGCTGGGAATAAACTCGCACGTGTTCTATAAAATGTGCTCCAATTAAGTGGGACAATCGTGTTGGTGGAATAATAATCTTGGAAGAAAACGTTTCGTTCAGAGCCCACAAGCTATGAGAAAATCTGGAAAAATAGACAGTATGTAGCACCGTCGAGAAATATAGTTAAATAACACAACGAACAGATGTGCTTGGAAAGTAGGAACATATTTTAGGATTGAGAATGAAGGGACAAGGACGCGTTCATGAGGTCAAACGACTCAATTGGAAGAGAAGTTTACATGGCTCACACGTAAATCGAACCCCCAAATTGTCGCATGTGTAGAAGACGAAATCTGCTGGTCTTCACTAACTGCGTCAAGCATTTAGTTCCGCCTCCCGCAGTGACACCAAGTGATGGAGTCATCAGACAAAAAGAAGCGATTCAGTAGAGCACGTCACGCGTTAAATAGTGCATTCTGAGTTTAAACGCAAGGTGTTAAAAGTGGACATTGGGAATGTTTTCAATTTGCATACAGAGCAGGGCAGCATATGCATGAACGCCACGCGGGTGGTACCAGTCACAGAATTGTCAAACGGCCTCCGACAAGTGGATCCAACGAAACTCGGTACACATGTCAACCGACTGTAAAGATCGGGGAACGTAACTTTTGGTATACTTCCGAGGAATTCATTGCGGCTAGGTGCATGGAGAGAACTGATCACGTCACCATATGCACTCATTGAGTGTTTGCTCTTATTTTTCTAAGTGGCCGGGTCGGCGCATTGAATTGTGATGGGTCCAAGCATAATGACCAGCATCACTATCAGAAAAATTCAGCAACCTTTGAGGATATACATAAAAGTAGACTGAAAAAAAGAATAATAAGCAATAACCTGTAAATAGAAGGAATGTCAGCTGAAGGTACTAGACCCAATGCAAGGGCGCCATCCGCTTCGAAATTACACGATATGAGAAAAGGTCACTAATGGTTCGTCAAGCCAATTTCGTAAACCACCATCAAGAGAAGTGACATATAATAGTCTGACGAAATCTGTCAGTTGTTCGCACCCAACCATCTGTAGCATTAGTGGATATATTACGCTAGTGTATGAATGGGATGATGGTAGCATGTGAATCCAGGTAAAAAGACATTCCAATGCGGAGTTTGAAGTCAAGCACCGGTAGGTGGGACTTGGCGTCTTCACTTTGTCCCAATAGATTTGAGCAATGGTGCACATAGGCACCGATGATCATAGACGGTTGATCGACCTGCTGATGTCATCGACACATAGGGATCGTGTTCCTGATCCACCCAATAACACTGATCGCACTGCAGTGTTACAGACTCTACTCTTTACCAATAGACTAATATCACGCAGTTCTCATGGATAGTTGAAGCTGTGAAAGGCCACAGGGGTCCTACCGATCGCCACAGTATCTCCTCCAAAATGGATCCAGCAATTTAAGTGAGTAAACTAATGGACGATGCCTAGTAAATTTCCAAAAAAGGGTAGTGTGTCGGATCAATCATACCACATCAACTCATCGACTGAAAGCCTGAGGTACATGGTGAACCAAGTAGTACCCTATGTCTGCATATCGGACAGGTTCGATCTCGATAGAGCGAAATCGTCATTCGGTAATAAGATCACAAAAGGAAAGCAAAAATGCGAGACAGGGCACTTATGGTGCATTCCACTTGTTGCGCTGAGCCCAAGGAAAGGCAGAAATCTTGGTTTATTCTCTAGATCCGTCTCTCGATTTGCTCAAAGCCCAAATACGTGTTAACAAGTTAGTCGCTATTACGTGATTGGAGGCGAAACGTGTGCAATCAAATTGTTCAGCTCGGAGAACCAAACAGAATTTCAACCGCCAAACCGAGCTACCAGTATTTCGACTTAGCTCACGGAAGGTCTTGCGTAAACCAGTTACACAACCTCGGGAATTGCTGTTTTGCAATGTCAACGCCTTATAATTAGATGGTGTCGGAGACAAATGCGATTGAATGAAGCAAAGGCGTTTATCAAGACAAGGAAGCCGACCACAGTATGTCATCTATAGATGTGGGGAACCGAAGTCATCTGAAGTATAAATACATGGCCGATGTGCCAGTCGTCTGCGCGAAATCCGGTCTGGCTTTCATTAAGTTCACAGTCACGAGGACCATCAACTCGCGTCGGGATGGTGCATGCACAAGGCTTGAAAAGAATTACAAAAATGTAGACACTTCGGTGATTATCATTCTGCATGCTTCAACCAATGTTTTGGAGGCGGACTATGAGATATTACGCGCACTATGCGAAGTTATTAGAAAGCGTTCTGGAACAGCGAGAATCTTCCTCCATATCGATAAACTGGGCTTCAACGATATACCGTCAACAACATGTAGCTTCAGCAATGCGTATTCGAGTGACACTTGTGCTTCTAATGCCATTTGTCCAGTTGTATAATTTTGCACTTTTTAATGTTTTAGAAAATTCGCAGTAGCTATTTCCATTTAGACACTTTTAAAAATATATGTAAGACTGGTTACGACATTCCCTTTGAAAAAGCTTACCTAGTGCAATACATAATATTGAGGAAACTAGTCATGCGAGTAAGTAGCAAGCCACCACTCTCGTCCAGAATCAAGGGAAGAAATTCAGTGAACGTATACGTCTCGTTTCATTTGAACACTGCTGTATCATTTCCAGGCTAGACAGAATACGTCAACATTTTGGGTGAATCCGACTGAGTCAATATAATGCAGAAATAAAGCAGGGTTTGCAATCGCACTTTAAAATGTCCCACTCTAAACATATGCCTGCAAGTCTGCTAGAGGTCTTTCGAGCATCTGTTTTCTGTACGACTAGGAAAATATATTTCTTACAGAATCGATCTTGTCAACTAGTGGGACTGTGTTATTCACCAAGCCCCCGAGACATACGCTGTTTCAATATAACGAACAAACGAAACCGATTGCGTAAAATCAAAGAACCGGACTGATCTATGTCTCAGAGGTCCCATTGTCAAGCAACTTCTTCTGCCTTCTCGATGTCAAAGTGAGTTCGCAAAAAATGCGGGCAGTCTAGAAGCCAGACGCGGCACCGAAAACGAAGGAGCAAATGCAATGTAAGCGCGAAGTGTGACGCAATAGGAGTCTTGAAAAGCACTCCGCATCGATTCGAACATTTGCGCTAGCGTGCACCGCTCATAGTTGGCGGCAGTGTGATAAATATAGACCTAGAGTGGCGCTTCGATCTGTGAGCAGGGGATGAAGCAACATGTACGATAGTGATAGAGGGCCACTTGTGCTTAGGTAAAGATTGTGGTCGGCACACAAATGGAGAAACTGATCGCCATCATCAGTAGGATGAGCATCGATTCAAAAAAGGTATTCGGTCTCTTTCTGTACACTTGATGGCCCAGGTAACCCACAGCAATTGCGGAAATTCTGTCACTGTTCAAACACATGAGAAATAAGCCCCCGTTAGAAACTGTTTTTTCATGGCTTACTAGCTGAGGTTAATGGATGCGTTTAGCGAACGAATAGAAAGGTGCCAGGGTTTCCGTAGAGGCTTGTTACCATTAAAGGGTTTGTAAACTCGAACTGTGCACATGTAGCTATTCACCTTGTGCTGAGTAAAGTAGGGACGAGTCGTTCATTCGAAACAACCGAAGATGAAAAAAAGACATCATTCATAGCAGAAAACAAGGCCAAGAAGCCGTAGGTTCTCTAAGACGCTGCAGTATCGTACGCCTACTTCAGAGACTACATGTGAATTCTAATACCATGAAGTGAGAGTAATAGTTGTCTGTCAACCACTTGGAGACAGATTAAGGACGTTGAAAGTCCGAATATGGGATGAGGCAGGCGCCGTAAGTACAGACTGCGAAGCTGGAGGCCGTAGCTTGTGGATGTTATAACCAGACGGTATGTCAATGCGATGCAAAGATCTGTACACCTCTCCGACAAACTGAGTCGCTCTGGGCGATGCTTCCGGGTGCCAAGATCGCGATTTCTACTCTATTGTTCGATGGCTGAAATTTGTGTTCATTTCTATAAACCTAGCCCATCTTTGCGGATAGCTATCACATTCCGGAAACTTTGTAGCCAGGTTTTCTAGCCAAACGCAATGGCTGGAAACAAATCATCGTCGTACCAAGATATGGTCGCAGTAGCAGCTTCCCAACCAACAGGTACCTATGAATTCCTCACCAAACTTCAACAGCATCCCACATCGGCCATCACGTATACTCAAAATTGTCAGTTCATTCGAAACATTTGAAAGATTGGAGGAAACAGCGCAGATTGTTCGTGGTACCTTCTTACTTCCTGTCCTATTTGTTTTTCTACTGATCCCTTTAGTAGTTCTACAGTGCAACGGATGGCAGGTGCAGCACTGATTAATTTTGTAGGCCACATTTGAGGTGCATACACATCTTACTTTGGCCATTACCACAAATAGAATACTACAAATGTCCAGTGGCAACGCAGTGCGCAAAGATGACGTGAGCAGATGAGTGAAAAAAGCAGCAATTCACAAAGAAAACTGAATATGTTACGTTATTTAAGACACCTGATACGATTGCTTTTCGACCTTGAGACAACCAGTGACGCTCATGCCCTAAGATAGTCAAACTGATGATGTACAACTAACAAGCCACAGGCTCCTCAATCCTGGATAAGGTAACGAAGAATGAGCAACTCTGAGATCCAAACAATGATCTGTTTGGTCACAATATCTCTGAAGTGATAGGGAGTCATTATGAAGCACTCATTGTTTGTATGGTGTGCAACATGCAATCTGAATCCGGACTGTGATATAGGATGAAGCAAAGTTGGCTCAATTCGATCACTGGGACCGCTGATGATTACTGGGTGTTGCTGGCTCAAAACATGTCATCCCACAGCGGTATTGTACTCATCTGTGCTTATCAGGCAGGACTGGGACTCGAACCCGGCGACTTTGGCCATCAGATGAAACGCATCAAACAATCAAGCTACTACAGTTACGGCGATCCCAGTGATGGAATCGAGTGAAGTTCACTTCAACGTAAATCACAGACCGGATGGGGATACAACGTGTCGTAGTTCCTTCACAAAATGACTCTCCTCTAGTCGGACACTAACTGTGGTAGTGACAAGCGGTATCAGCTGGCATCCCAAAGTTCAGAGTTCGAGGCAGTCACGATAACGCTGCCTGATGAGTGTACATACGTTGTGATATGAGCGATCAACCAGAAGATTCATCAGACTTAACGACCTTGTAACCAATGCATTAAGTAGATACGCAAACCATCGCATGAGAGCAAGGTGCAGTCTCATCTCGAAGAAGTGAGCGGACTTGCGATTCATGCTAAGACGTTCGTTGATTCACACACCGCATGTGCCAACTTGACGAAGGAAAAACACAATTAAGCCAGAAGGCAAACAAACCCCGCAGGGTTCTAAGACCTTATGTATCCGGTTATTGCGCATTTCTATCTCGATAGAGTTCACCCAAAGGCAGTTTCTCAAACTTAGAAACCGATAGTGAATGGTAGGACAATGTAACCGTGTGGAGTCGCATGCTATTGAACAGTAGAATCTAGACAAATTAGTTCAAATATACTGGCGTCACAAAGCGATGTGTTCCATGAATTTAGATAAGGTAGCAGTGACTGTTTGACTTAGAAGAGGATCCAGCTTGAACGATAGTTGGCACAAGTGAAGTGAAGGTTGCAGCACGTAAGCACAAAGTAAAAAGTGTTTAAGTGGGTGGTTCGGTGAAAACACACAGTGAAGCAAGGCACGCACGAAAATTTGATTTCCGAAGGTAAAAATGTGAACGAAAAGCCTAAGGTGAAGCAAGGAGAAAATCAGGCTTGGACATGTTCAGACTCCGGTTAACATGTCGCAGCTTTCAGGCGTGACCAGTGTGATCTTTAACCAGACGCAGACTCGCTACATGAATGTCGTTCTGTACAAAGTGAGTAGCAGACGTCCGAAAATTATAATCACTGCGTATTGTGAATCTCGGATCTATGAGACTGGGATGGCGCTGATCGACTGGGAGGAACATAATCCGTTGATAAGTAAAGTTCAAAAACAGAACATAACAGTAAATAGTGCGACTAATAGGCCGGAAAAATTCACATTAGAGGCTGTAACTGAAGTAATCTAGACTTCGCATAGACAAGATATAAGGAGAAGGATATCGAACGTATGTACACTGACGGTCTGCAACAGTAAGTTCTCTGTGGTGAATAAACTATAGTCTAGGTGTGAGCACTGAAAGGAAAACACTGCCCCGAAAAGAGACAGGTACGCCCAAATCACCTTTGGTCGTGGAGACGGATAATGGAACAGTCGCACTTTGCCGTAATCGTCCGCGGTCACAAGAAGGTTGGAGTTCAATGACACATCGCAAGCGTTGATGTCAGAGCCATCAGCTCCTTCCGGCCAAATACCTGTCACATCCCAGCCGATGGTGCAAGTATGAGTATGCCAATCGATATCCCGCAGAGTACTTGGTGCCACGATCTAAAGGGAAGGCAAAAGAAAGGCGAACCAAAGCAGTTAGTGAAGATGGACAGGAAAATAGGGTGGCAATCCTTCTGAGATGACATAAAAATAAAATTTAAAGAGATAGTTAGTATTTCAACTACTCAAAGTAACTGTGCAGATCAACTTGTAACTCGCTACTATGGACATAGTTGCCGGACATGAAGACGAGGAGGAATATGGTGATTCAGAAATAAAATTAATGTGCCGTCGTACGTAAACGATGTATGCTGGATGCGAATCAAGCGCAGAAGGCGGCCGGCAGCTATCAGTCGGGAGTCCTGAGAAAGAGAAGTGAAACACGAGATATGAGTGACCGAAATATGCAAGCACGTAGCCATGCTAGCATTGTGATTTGTAGCTAAAAGTTATTCAAGTCTTCAGGAAAGTCTACAATGTTTCTACGAATAACTGTAGGAGGAGAGGAAAAGTTCAATAGAAATGAACGGGAAAAGATAAGACACAGTAGATATGTGGTAATTAATGCTGCAACTAAGTTCAATGGATCATAAAATGAACTGAACACCGTTACAGATTACCGGTAACTTTCATAAATACTGAAATTAGTTTTAAGTAGTTCATACGGTTAAAGAAATAAGGGCATTGGTGTGTTAGGCTACCAAGTTTGCATCACATCTGCGCTTCCCGCACTAGGTTTTGAGTGTAAATTCTGGCGTGGCGAAGTAGGAGTGTTCAGACTAGAGAAATCACGTTACCCTGCATCTCTTTTAGCGTGCTTAAGACACAGACAGCAAATAGATACACAGACAAGGAGTAGCTGTTCATCTTTAAGGTCGAGTAGTGAGAGAAGCCCAGCACTCAAAGGCTGACGTGAATGAACGGAAGAGAGGCAAAAATATTGAGTGGGTACATATGATTCTATTTTACGACTGCTTTGTTAGCATATTACGATACGACTGTCGTTCTTTAAAAATATGGAGGTTAGCACCAACAAAATAATGTCAACACAGGCTGGATGAGAGTGAACCTAGGGCGAAGAAAAGTTCATGGCTTACAAGCAGTTTTCAAGGTAAAACGTAATGATTTCCCGGTCACACGATCAGCTGTAGTGGACAAATCGGGACATTTTAACTGTGTTATGAGGATAAAAAGGCTACTTCAGTGTACCCTGTCGAAATACAAGAGCAGAGAGGGAGAGATTTATGCCAGAGTGGTTATGATATTTATAAACTGGAATACCGTAGCGTGTTCCGCCAGTTTGCACGTAACGGCATGGTGCTAACGTTGACGAGAACATATATGCAAAATACCGGCGGAAGTGTCAACCAGCGGAGACGTTCACTATCAAGTAACAATTCGTATGTTAGCTGAGAATAAGACGGTTGGAACAACAATAAACGCGCCGGTTTGCAGGAATCGAAAATTAGCGATGTGGAAGATTGCAAAGAGGTGATAGTAGAGATGCAAGTGGAGAAGCATATGGGCACGGTAACCCTAACCGGTTGAGAGAATTAGTGACTGACTGCCGCGCAATGAAGATGCGAAGCAGGCTACCGAGGCATCATCTAAATCAGTCACAGGAGTGAGGGGATAAGTTTGCCGCAAGTACATATTCATCTGTCAAGAAATAACTTAGCGCGATGGGAGAAAAGAAATGAATGAATGACTGAAAAGGTGAGAGGTGAAGGAGTAAATATCAGCAAAGGGCTATGGAGCTGTCATCGGTTGGGCGACATGCAAAAGTTGGGAACCAGAGGATGTCTGGTCTCTGCCAAGCAGTTACCGTGCCGCCAAAGTTGTTATCGGTCGAATCAGAACTTATCATTACATCTAGTGAGTGAAAGCTAGCTAACCGAATCAAAGAAATATAGTTTGCAATCAACACGTATATGACTAGAGAGTCCGTTACTTAGAAAAGGACATCAGCGTAGTGATTTGTTGAATGACAGAACATGGGTCAGAATAGACTTAACGTTATGCGGTACGGCGCCCGTGTCTGTCGAGCAACGTGTCATAGTAAACCGTTATATTCACAGGCAGAATGGTATTGATCACAGGTCCAGAATGAAGTTAGTCTGACGGTATCTCATCATTTCTAACTCCCTCTGTTCCATGTCATGATAAACAGGGTCAAGCTGATGCTTGGGCACAAAGCTAACTAACGGTTAACAATGCACATAGAGGAAAACACTCAGTTTATTGTTTATGGTTTTTCTTCTCGACTGCACCCGTCTCCGGAGGCATATGCATGCTAGATATTAATGACAATGGTATTGGGGCACATGCATAAGTCAGCCTACGTATTCCTACTGCACTTTAAAAATCGCTGGAGAGAACTAAAATATTTTCGGATAAACTTTTCGTCGGTTATTTTATCTTCTCACTCGCAGGACCATGTGAGCGCGACAGGCGGACTCACTGTATTTCGGTGGTCGGAAAATAATAGCTGAAGTAGAGTAGCTAGCAAGCCACTAATCCGCTGGTGTTGTGGTTTGGTGAGTTAAGATATTTCTACCATACTAACCTGTGAGATTTGTTGTGCAGTGCACATTGGTCCGCAAACTACGAGAAGACCGCCATAACTTAAGCCACCGCGATATGTATATGTATTCTTAACAGTCTATTGGCTAGACAAAGAGCCAGCCTAAAACCATGGAGATAAGGAGATAAGCAATATTCATGGCGTCATAATCATCGTGGCATGCTAGTTGAAGGTGAGCAACACACTTCAACTAATATGCCGCAGGAAGAATGGAACATTCTGATAAAAAGCAGAACAAAACATTTTTAGTTTGTTTTTCACGCCACCGCGATAAAAAACGAACAGCGAAATAAAAGTTAAAAACCAAGAAACGTAGGTGATAATCAGTGGAAATAATGGTCACGCAAGAATGGAAATCCAGCATCGTAAAAACTACCCAAAAACGTTGAGAAGAGCTAATCGGCGAAGGAAAATACAGGGTAGGCAAAAGCAGAGTAGTTGTAAAAAGAAGTCGTAGATACAACTAGTGGGAAAAGTCGCAATGTGGTAACTTAGGGAGAAATCAATAAAGTGACGTTAAAGATTCCCGAACCTGCCGACAATCGCTTGCAGTCCAGTAAAGCAGCTCGTAGTCACCTGAACACGATCGCAGGTATCGGCTGTCGAAGGACCAGTCAACGTGTAGCACAAAGCTGGAGTGGCCTGAGCACCGGCCAACGCGGGAATACTTGCGTCCGTTTTCTAGCACTTGGTATACATAGATGAAGTTGTCCCGTGAGGCTAGTGCAATGTACTGCCCGTCTGAGTAAAACGGTTCGGAAAGAGTTGTCAGGTACGCGAAAGATATGAAAACTGATCAAAAATAGATGCAGAACGGTGTGATATATAAGGAAATTACGAACGAATGTGAAGAGCGAAAGTGACATAAATCAAGCAGCCGTTAGAGGATACAACAGCATAATACCGGCAGTTCAGATTTTGGTGACGGAGACCTGATATTTGAGATCAAGATGCGGGATCACTTCCAAATTGAGAACGAGAAGAATGTTCTTCACAGTCAACAACATCACATAAAGCTTGTAAGCCCACAGGTAGAGAAGTAATTCGGATTACATCAAAAGTAACGCCAAAAAATGAAAATGATTGTTTCTGAAGACATCCGCTGAAGCCCAAACGGAAGTGGGAATGCAGATCAGAGACAATCATCGAGCAACTGAATGTAGATAAGTGTCATAATATAAAATAAAAGGAAGGGTTGAGAAGGCTGATTTCATCAACAGCAGTACATCAGCCATTGTAACCAGTGCTTCGCCGCCATACAGCCATAATGATCTAATGAATGCAGAATAATAGAATGAAAATAAAGGGGACCTAGCGCAAAACCTAGTTGTCACACACCTCCATATACCATCACAAATAGAATGATATCGTACAAGGCGGCATCAGTGAGGTCAGGTGTAATTGAATCGAAGTTGTTCGGGGTGTGAGGTATCGGAAACCTTGGATACGAAGGTATTCGGAGCAACGTTATTGTGGGTGTGTAGGGAAAAATGAAAGAAGACAGTTTAAAAGGGATATGACGGAAATGGGATTCATCCGGGACACGTCTTATGGAGTAATACGATGGATATCGGACGCAGCTACTTCCATAAGCCGAAGAACAGAAAGCAGTTACACGGTGGGCACCGATCTGACCAGTTCGATATTAGGATCTCGTAGCAAACGAGGATCGCGGGTGTCAGGCACAGGACGTTGAAACAGAACATCACACCAAAAAACAGTAAACTCTGCTCGTCCTCCATCATGTAGGCGATTTGCCATGTTCCATCCCAAACAGTGGCGGCAGCATCGCGTTGACGAAAGTGATATAAACGTTGACTATGCACAAACTGCAATCTGCGACGTTAGCGCTTATTCAATGCGGCTTTAGGAGCAGAACGACGTATTGAATGGATCCAAGTATATGGAAAATAGGAGATGCAAGCCAAATTCAGTAGGTTACTGAGTACTGCCCTCGACCATTATGGAAAGCGCTTGAACATATCTAGTAAAAAGAGACACCAGCGTCTAACAGAAGTGCAGGTGAATGCGACCGCTTACGCAGATCCGAATGCAAACGCCTAAAAAATTATAGAATCTCCCGTTGCAGCTGTAACAGGAGTAGCATCAACGGGCGGCAGCATACTATCGCGAGAAACACATGCAACTGCATCGCCGGGGTTCCAATTTGAAGACCGAGTAAAAAGCTGGTAAGCAGACGCTGAGCCTGAGTCCATAAACGTTAGCAAAAGCTCAGAATGCTCGTGGAAGTTAGCGGTGGGAATAGTAAGGTTGCCCACCTCACCGGATTCCGCACGCAGTAGATGGAAGTAAAACTGAACACAATGGGAGATGACGACTGTTTCAGGATACGGCCTACCGGTGGCCGAGAATCAGGTCATTTGGTAAAGAAAGAGCACCCGCTCAAATGCTGCAGGCTTTTTCGGACCACCAATCGATCGCGCTTACACAGAGGACCCTGAAAAGTAGGAGCAGAATTTAGTAACGTTCCCACAATAGCTAATAGTGCAGCGTCTTCCAACGTAGACCAACGGTGTGAATAAAGCGGAAGGCGAGCAAAACAATCTACTGTCTGCTGGACCGCATGAGTGAGGTGACAAGGTTGAGTGAGGCTACGCTGAAAGTAAAAGTTCCTCCGACACATTTGACAGCCTGTAAGTCACTGTATCCAAACGCTGTGGACAGAAAAGCAGGACAGTGACGACGGGCTTTAAGGTGCATTTACAGATTCACACATGTCCGACAGGAGCGCGGAGGTAACGTGTAGAAATGCAGAGGGGATTTGGTAGAAGTGGACGCTATAGTTTGTACTTGCGAGGTAGCGACAAGTCGCTATTGAAGAAAGTGGCTTGGTAGTAGCGGTATCCGGAAATGCGGCATTGTTAAAGGAGCGTTTGTAGAGACAGGCGAGGGTGATTGCTTTCATGGTGATGTATTTGATGTATGAGGTTTGGAGGATAGTGGTGTGGGTGTGCGGTTCAATAAGCTGGGATGAGAATCATTAGGGATCGCTCCGTTCAAAGGTTTTGTAGGGATACCGGCGCAGTCACTGTTCAGGCAAGTAAGGACATGTAACGAAGAAAAATAAGTGGATACCTGAGGCCGCAAGTCGTGCATAGGCTCCTATCTACGGTTGGGTAAGGGGAGTTGATGAGACCGGACTATGAACCTAAAGTAGTCCTCTGACAGTGTTGCGTATGCGCATGTACCGGTCGAAAATGACGATCGCAAATAGAAAAGATATTGTTTGAAGTGTCGCTTATTCAAATGTCCCAATGAATAGAACGTGATATTCAAAATATCGTGTAAGTTCTGTTGCAGTAGTGAATTCGACGTGGCTAATATGGCAGATATAGTCTCTTGGTGGGAGGTTCGAGGAGCCCAAGGTGAGTGAGACCGTAAGGTTAAACATGGCGAAAACAAAGATAAGTAATCGGTGAGATAAGTGGACAAGCAACGAGTATCAGTTTAGGTTGGTGAGCTCAGATCGTGGCATAAGCCAGAAAGGAAGAGGAGCACAAGTCACCTAGTGAAGGAAACCAACAAGAGCACAATGGATGATGGAAGATCACTGGTCCGAATAGACATAATGAAAAGCAAGGATATAAAAAGAAACAATGCCCGATAACGAAACGTGATCAATCAAGAGAATTTGTTTGGAAAAGCTACGAAAGTCAGCAAAAGATAAGGAGCGAGAGCAGAAAAAGCGCTACGCAGAGGAGTCGGGGATCTAAGGTTGAAGGAGCAAAAGAATTTAGTGCCTTCCAACTACTCACGAGTAGTGTGTTTCATTCAGCTAGTTGAAAAGGGAGGCAAGCGACGATTTGGCACTTAACGGATATGCATAGATATAGCTAACATGTAGACAGAAAGTATCGGAAATTACGGGTAAAGCAGGTGGACGAAGTGCCATTGGACAACCAGTAGGCTTCCGATATATCCAGTCACACCTCCTCAACCGGTCTCCGAAATAAGTCATTGCATTTGCTAATTGTTCGGTAGCTGCGGAGCAGATCGTTGTCTGAGTAAGCGGAATGGGGAGCACATTCCGAAGCGAACTGCTAACATGACGGTGCAACAAACAACCAGACAAGGAGACGCAGGCAAACTGCCAGTCTCGTTCACTGATAGACGTTTACTCTTGCGGCTGTCTATCGAAAGAAAAATGCCAGGGTGCTGACGTATGCTGAGGCCTTCACCGGTAATCGGCGCCGTCTCATTCACTGTTTACAGGAGCAACTGACAGCAACCCTAAAGGTAGCTTAGGGTCATGACCTTTATCCCAGATCAACCACCTGTTGTTTAGTGTCTGTGTGGTTTCTTTTCTGATCAATTCTAAACGATCGTTTTCCACTAACGTGATCTAGATACGGTGCTAGTTGGCAAGCCACTAAATAACACAAAATGTAGCTATCTTGCACTGTGGCACATTAGCTGAGGTGTGTTTCTCACCCACGGCTAACGTGTATTGATGATGATGATTATGAGCCATCCTCCAGTGCGTGTCTTCTCATTGCCTTGTTCAAACTGATCCAAGGAACTAAATGCCTTAAGAATAAATGCAGCGAAAAGGGTTGCAAATGGAGAACCAGTTTATCAGATGGAATAGAATGTAGAAACGGTTGAAATTGGCCGAAACAAATGGGTGACATTCAGAAATTAGTGGGAATCAAGAATGAGAGGGTTCGAAACAGGGGGATAAAGCAAATGCGTAGGTAAGAGAACACATATCAGAGAGAGAAACAGTTAAAACCGAGTACCCAGAGAGGTATAAGGCGTTCAGTGAACATGTAGATGTATACGTCATTCTAACAAGCACAAAAATCACCACCAAACCAGACAGAGCTTGTAGACAAGTAAGCAGAGAAAGTCGCGCATACAGAGAAGTAAATAAAAATAGCTATAACTTTGAAGTGCAGAACAAAAGGTGGAAGTATATGCCTCGAAAAAAGGCTACAACGTGCTTAAAAAGAATACAACAGGAATCTGTTATCAGCTCACCGTTTAAACATGCTATCTGCATGTATATACACCTAGCACAAGGTGTACAGTGTGTTTTGGCCCCACTTCATCAGAGTTGAGATGAAAATGGACAAATACATCAAATTAAGAGAAAGCGTCTACATCTATCCAACACTGTAAGGAAGTCTGTTCGCCGATGCGATGCCCCGGAGAAACTTTGCAAATAATGGAAAACCGTCGCTAGACTGAACCACTGACTAGCACACAGCCGGCAGCGGTGATGAGTGTATCACTGCTGACGTAGCTGCCAAAGTAAATATATATTGACCAACATCCACTAGTTTATCGCTATCAAGGATCAAAGGGTTATCAGGTGGCTGATGGGTCTGAAACAATACTCTGCACATCAAATGGTGGGTTGACTGGGTCATTCCAAAATCGCTAAACAGCAAGATACTATCGTTCGACAAGACAGCAACCAACACCCGTATCGTGAGTTCCCACAAGAAAACACTCCACGACGGAGACAATGAAGATGAAAAAAATAGGAAATTGTAAAACCCTGATGAATGCCCTATGTAGTTGAAAAGACATCCGACAAATCGCCGTAGACCCAGACGCGACTTATTGCGTTCGAGTGCATAGCACACAAAAAATGTCCAGAAATTCCATGGGTATACCTTTCCGCGCAAGTATTTCAAGCAGAACAGAATCACTGACGGAACTAAACACACTCCTGAAAGAAAGACATTATCCGTCAGCAGTACGTGTGACGCTGCTCCAGCATATGCCGGGTTTATACAGCCCCGTGCTGGACGGAAGCGTGCATGTCCTTCCTTTACTTGGAACGCAATTCCGCAGTAAGTCGGTTGACGAAAGATGAGGCCAATACTTTTGTCACTACCGGAGTGAGGCTAATACTTCTGTGGTTGGCACAGTTGGTGCGACTGCCCTTCTTGTGTATTGCTACTATAATCGATTAACTCCAGTTAGTTAGGATGGCTTCTTTACATATGTGCTCGAACACGGAGGCCAGTGCTTTGCAGAGTACCTCAGCACCATCCTCAAACAGTGCACATGCATGAGAGTCCAGGATTGCAGTGAAGAAACGATTAAGTGTTGTGATCGTGTTTCCGACCTACGCCTCTGATGAAACCTATAATCTGACCGACCATGGAGTAAGTGAACTGCTCTCGGAAGTGCTCCGCCTAAGGAGCCACATGGCGCACTGTATTATGAATTAGGGCGCACGTTTTATGTATGTCTAATTGACCCTGGGTTTATTTGGATTAACAGTGCCGATCATTTGGGAGAGTTTGTGATAATTGTCTATTATTCTTACCTCCTCCATTTCTTAAGTCCCACTAATACACCAGGCTTATTTGTCAGCACGTAAGCTCCGATGTAGTTCGCGCCTAAGAGTTCGTCTGGTTATACTGTGCTGAGACAACCGGGTTTTTCCTGGATTCCAACAGGCTCAATGACCTTTCGGAAATCAAGTGACTAGTGCGGTGACGACTAGTAGTGCCGCAAGCAGAGAACCCGGCGTCGCGCAGAGCGGCCGAGATCCTAGTCCACAGAACATCGATATTCTTAGGATGAGAGGCTGAAAGTCCGGTACACGGGGCATCCTGGAAGGTAGACTCAACCGGAGGCTGGGATAACTTCTATAATATGGGCTTCAGTGGTAGCTCTTCATTGCGGATTTTAGGTAAGACATAAAGCGTATGCAAAATAACAAAAAAGATTCCGTTTTTCTTTCACTGAGGCACAATAGCTGAAGTGTGTTGCTTATCACGATGATGATGCGGTGACCAAACATACCTTCTTTCAGTGATTTCCATGGTTTCGTGTACTGATTTTCGTATGCACTACTAGACAAAGTAAGACCTCACTGGTGGAGATTTTAGCTGCATGTTTAGACTTGTTTCAACTCGATCGGCTGTCATTCCCGCGCAACAGCAATTTGTGTAAGGTCATGTGTTAATACACCGTTACGTTTGCGATGGAGCAAAATCCATTCTCCGAAATTTTGATATAGTCAGATCTATCCATCTGAACTATCCCAGCTCCTTTATCTGGTCTAAACAGCAGCACATTATAGTTTTGCTTGAATTCCTTAAGAGCGCCCAGATGTTCCTACGTCAAAACATGCCTGCTATATGGTTTATAGCTTAGGTATTCGTAACAAGTGTTAACCAGTGTTGCCTTATACTGCTCAGCTGCTAAGGCGGATAACGGTGTCAGCGTAGCCAGCTGGGACTAGAGATTCTCCAATTAAACTTCTAAAGTTCATTGTTGAATATAGTTCCGTGGACAACAGAATTTCAAGCAGAGTGAAAGAGCGTCAAGCAGAACCTTGTCCAATCGCAACGAGGAGAAATTATGAACGTATCTCTCAGGATCAGATGGAAATACGTTCTGTGGCTTATGCACATTGAACTCAATGTGGGATTATTTTATCAGATGACGTCCGACCGAACAAGTTTGTTGCACCGGATAAAAAGCGTGCATAAATATCGCGATTCATCATGAAAAATGAAAAAACGTACCAAGTGAACGAAACCTACTGACCTATTCAGTGGAACAGTGTCATAGCATAGGGCTAACAAAATCGCATACGATTAAATCAGAATACCGGGTAAATGAATCATTAGAGAACGTTTTCAATGAAATAAAAAGGTAACTGTAATAAACTCTGCTGTATCGTACGAATAGTTTGGCAACTCCACAGAGAACGGGAAAAGTGACAAATCACTCGTGTGAACTTACCGGGAGAGTAAGCAATACATTGGATCTGCTCCCCGATGCCATCGGAATGCGCAGCGACGATTTCGCGCCTCGTGGTGTCCATGATTAACCAGCGCCCTGAAACTGAGCCTAGTGCAACGAGATGTGGACTGCCTGAGGACAGGTCCGCGAGTTCACAATCGCCATCCGCAAGTACTCCATTCGAGGTAACGCCAGGATAAAAACAGGCACAATGTATTGGGTCGTTTATTTCCTTCATCCACACGGCTTGTTTGGAAAGAGAGTCCCAAAGGACAATCAAGCGATCGTAGCCGCAAGTGAGAAATTGGTGGGTTTCTGGGTGCGTCGCCAATCCCCAAAGTTCATCAGAATGACCGAAAATGAGTGAGCTAAGCTCAAAGCCAGGACCGGCCTAGAAAGAATGAGGATACGACAAAGAACAGAGCAGGATGACGATCGTAGTCCAGCACGAAGAAAACAAGCAAATACGACCCGCGGTTCAGAAGAATGCGACAATTGCAACCGTGGGTTATCAGCTGTATTTCCAGTGAATAAGTCTTGGTAACGCGATAAAACTCACGGTCACTCTTTCATTTTTGGCAAAATTTCTGACCATGTGGACTTAGCAAGCCAAATCCAACGTTCGCAACTGAGGTCACAGCTTTTGACAGCAGGTAGTCAGAAGTAAGTGAACAACGCTCCAGTTCAACAGCAGTGCGCATGCCAGATTAAAAAAACCCATTCATGTACCCGTGAAATGGTGTGTTTCAGAGTTGACAGTAAATCGGCAAGCATAGCAGCGGTCGCTGAATGTCGATTTATCTGACGCAATTCAAACGCAGTCGGTAGTTGGTGTACTCTAGTGACATGCCGAGTGACTTGTAGCAATCCATACTGAAGAAATTACCAATGAGACGACGGTCCTCTAAATACCATACAACAGTACTGGGATGGAACCAAGTACTTTTTATGCACATCTCAAGATGTACAACAGTTGAGGAATGTGCAGTGGTAATTTGTAACCACATCGAGACGTAACCACCCAGTATGACAGCTGATTCAAGGGAGAGATGCGAGTGTCGAAAATGACACATTGAGCTCTCCTGCGAAGTACAAAAGCGGGGAATTTGGGATTTATCCAACCTGCATGTAGAGAAAGAGCACAGCTTCGTGAACACAATGCAGGTACCAGCCACACAAACGATCTGCAACCAATCGAATAAGTAACACTCGGCAGTTAGCTGCTAAATTCGGAGTCCGTAACTTCAAATACACCCCATGGGGCGACCAGACTTGCTAGATCCGACCGTGATGCGCGACGCCTTTGCAAGCTGACACCATTCTGCATATACCGTCCGACTGTGTTCTCGGCCTGCAACATCCACTAGTTAAGTTAAATTGATAAAGTGGAAAAAGTTAACGCGATCAAGAATCGCGCACGAATGGCTACACAATCGTCAATACAAAAATAAGTAACCCAGCGACGGGGCGCGATGATGCCCCGTCGTTGTCGCGGTGGTTAGGAATGCCAATGAATAGTATAAGGTGACTAGAGAGGAATGACAAAAACGACAGAATGGACAAAAGCTAGTTACCGAGGTTTCGCATATGTTAGACACAAAAGCATATGATATCGAAACTGATGGAGAGTTGCCTCAGCAAGCATGCCATAGCAACCTACCGTTTAAACAGTAAGTGCTGGTGACGGCGAGATCGATGTGTGCGGATGTACGGAACTATGGTCAGATTATCATAATATGCGGAGCCCTCTCAGCTTCCAGATCCCTACGGCTACCAACGCGTTTATATAGATGAATCAGTGATTAACGCGACAATCCCTGTGATGGGAGTATACACTCGAACGAACGTGCGGTGCCAGCCCAGCAAGGAAGCCGTTAGGCTGCCGCAAGGAAAGGCGGCAGCTGATAGGACGTTCACACGTTTCTCGCATGCACGCTGATTGGCCAACAGTGGGACGCATTGGAGTGAGTTTGTTTGACTGAATCAAAGGAAAAATGTCATGCATTCACAAAGGTCGTTAATTATGGATCCAACTAGCTGTATATACCGATATGTTTCACTCGCCCTATGCCTGCGTTTTCGCCTGATCCTGTTGTTTGCAGAATATACGTTTTGTCCCTGAAGGACCGAATTTTACAGTCCCCACAAGCCGAGTCCTTTTATATTGTGCATGCGTTCAACAGTGTTGCGATCTTATGGACAGTAACGCAATTCGGAAAGAACACGCACGGAAACTGAACCCTCACAACGAAAGCACGGCACAGAATCACAAGTGAAACACAAATCAGGTACCAGTCTAATGCCCCAACCCCGAAGGGAAAGAAGACAAGACCTCAGACACGAGATCTACTCGCAAGCCAACACAGAAGACCAGAAAGTATTGGTAACTCATGAATGGTTCAGGCTCTTCAATGGCCTTGCCAAATCAGCCAATTACAGTGCTTGTTTGAAGCGGGAACAAAGCGTGTACCGGTTGGAAACCAAAAATGGTGGCTAACAATAAGCCCATAGATTTGGCGGATTCTAGTGTAGTTCATGGGAAATATGGCCTTTTCCCAACAAACGGAGAAGAACGTCGAGTTAACAAGTGCTGGTGAGTCACACCAATACACGTTCGCAATCGAAGAAAGAAAGAGTTACGGATGTAGGAACATAATGGTGAGGGGCAATTGAGCAAAAATGATAATCCCGCACGTGACAGACTGAAAGTGACAGATAACATGGTTTCAACATACGTCCAACGCACAAAACAATTTTCCCTGGAGCATGTGTCGAGTTATTTCTAAAGGAGATTGTTGCACAAAATAAATCAGCTGTCTCAACTAATGTGTGTATCATAAGAGTAAAACGAACCTGTAGTATTGTGTTTCTTGTTGTTCCGATGAGAAGCATCTCTCCCGGGCCCTGGACAATGGTTCGAACGGAACCGTGCAGCTCGGGCAACTCGCGAACCTCACCCGTTGGGTTTAGAGCTGCATCGAAAAACACAATGCGTCTATCCTTACCTCCGCCCGAAATCAGATGGCCGTCCTGAGTGAGACACAGTGAGAAGATCCCTCCTTCGTGGACACTGTTACAAATCTGGCTGATGGTGTTGGTGCCTAAGGATGAAGTAGCGCGATGAGCCGCAATGTGAGAGCGAAAGCATGGAAGGAGGATAAGTTGGGGAATAAGTCGGCTAGCCACACTGCGAGCAAAGATGGCAACGGAAGTGTGAATATCAAAGTGGCAACAGTAAAATGACAAGCAAGGATGAAACGTTGATGTAATACAAGGTCCAAATAGGATTATACCAAAACAAAGATTTGCGAGATTGTCGGCTTAACTTAAAAAAGTTCTGGAATTCTAAAGCACGTAAGTGTCAGAGCAAAGGAAATTAGATATACTGCACAGCTGGGGGTCACATGGGGCTATGTGAAGATAACAGGAAATGTACGCGAACAACCGTAATAAGATTGCCCAACCGATTTCCTATGCCATGACAGTACATTTTCCAAACTCGTCACGATAGTTTACATGCGACAGTGTGTATGCATTCGAATCCAATGAACGGGAATTCTGGCTAGCATCAGTGAGGAAAGCGGTGCGCAAACCACATAGAAGACAAACTAATTTGAATACTATTCAGAGTAGAATGCATAAGAGGTTAGTTAAAAGGTAACACATCGATAAACGCAAAGGAGAAAAGATCCATCCATTTACCTCGTTTCCAGACTAGTATGTTCCCGGATGAGTCACCGGTGAGAAGATCTCCCATTTCAGTGAAGATCATGCACAGCACAAATTTGGGTTTTTCACAAGATATTTTCCCAGTCTGAGTGAAGAATAATTGTTATGAGATTATCACGAAGTAGTAAAAAAAGTCCACATCGCTCGTCAGTTTCTCAATAAAAGCTCGGGGATAAGCGGTTAGACAGAGATTACAAAATTGAACACAATCAAAGCAAACGTAGGACATATTAAAGGAAGTAAGGGAGCGAAAAAGGTAACACACGATGTAGAATAACAAGGCGTGTTGAATGGATGTAACAGACTTATAGGGTGACAGTGATGGGCGAGGAACTATACACGCCACTTATTGTTAAGAACAGGCCAAATGCCCACTGTAGACTTCGTTCAAAACAATGTTGCAGTAAGTGGGTCAGTGCTGAATGGGATTCAGTCAGTACGGCGGTACGCAGTACCGACGCTTTGCTACCACGCAACAACCACAGGTCGCGCGTGGGCTAAGCATACTGCGACGGTCGTCCGGCCTCCTACACAGGCTCGAACTCGCGACCTCCGGATTACAAAGCAGTCTTGTGATCCTTCCGGCAACGAGCTAGCACAGGTGGTAAGATAACGGGGAGACAAAGACGCAAGTCACTTAGAATCCGAAAGGAGCAACATGCACGTCAGCAGTAATGTGAAGCGTTGCATAAAGCGCGAGAACAAGGTGCTGGGGTCAAGGTCACTATAAGGACTATCGTTACACGTTAGCTGAAGGTGAGAAGCACCTAAGATATTGGACCTTAATACAAAAAGATAGGTAAAAAAGTGTGATACTAAACACGCAGAGTACAATACGTGTAGACAAAGAAAATATTAACTTAACGATAAATATCACACTGCGCATCGGGTGTCAGAGCGTAGAGGGAGGGAAAGATAAGCGGAAGGGGAGGGACAAAAAGACTCACAACACAAACGCCATTGAGGTCGACTCTTCGCTATGTCAGCTAGTGTATCCAACCACATGTGGTCCTCATCCATCGGTCCCCAACACAGCAGTCGGGAAACACCAACTGACGACAAGTTCGAAGTGAGGGACTTCTCTCCTCTCGGGCAAGTCATCGCTTGAGCCCTCCTCATATTCTTCAATCCACACCCCGGTCACGCAAACAACGGACGACGCAGGAATCGGTGTGTTAGCATGCGCAACATGTAACCAAGTAATCAGAGCCTGGTGCGTGTTTTAACGGTGATAAGCGGTACTCTAGCTTTACCCGCACTAAATACGCGACGCCGAACACACCCAATGCTCACGCGGTGTTCAACCTAGACTTGAGCGAAAAAGCGAAGGCCGCGATGGAACGTAACAAAGTTTCGCTGGTCCCCAACAAGGGTAGACGCCAATCGTGAAGAAGAACAGTTCGTTCTAAGGCAGTAAAGCAAGGCTCAAAACGGTTGACTGCCAGTGCCAATCTGCCCAGTGCTGCTCGGCACGTTTAGGAGCTGCCACAGATCAACGCAATGTCATCAGCGAACTCCAAATCAAGAAGACGATCATTTGGGAGCAGCTCCACTCCCTCTAAGTCGTGTTTAGTAAACGCAATTTCCATGATTTCGTCAATGAGAGTCAAAAAAGGTGACAGTGGCTGGAGACCAACAACCAAAATCATTAACAGCATCAGTAAATCAGCCATTCGAACTGATGACCTATGGAATAAAGAATAACGGGAGGGAGAGAATAGGGATTTAATGGAAAACATTCAGGCTCAAAGTGCATATACCTTGTCAAAAACATAGTCACAAAAAGCTGGCTACCATGCAAAGATAAGGCGGCATCGGCAAGACAGCTTCTTTGTGGCTTTCAACGCACCGCCTCATAATCAGGCATTACCCGCAGATAACTCATTGCCTAACAAACTTTCAACAGGCAATCCGACTAGGAGACGGTAGCAGACGCGCCACGGGTTTCGACTGCGAACAATGTCCTGTAAAGTCTCGAGCCAAGTGCACTCAAGCCTGAAAGCCGATACGGACCGATGGAACCGAATTTGGTCGTCAGCGACTTCAATTTCCACTGCCAAGTCAACTTTTTTCCATCTTGAGCCTTGCGCCAGCCTACACCAGGCAGAATAAACAAGGCCCTCCTTGGTAAGCCGTGATGTGGCATACGTAGTACATGCCCAAACCAACGCAACTTATCCAGTGCAATCTGTTGTTCTAATGAACTACCTTGGGTATCACTGCCTAGCAATCGCCTACGCATATCATCGTTGCGGATACGTTGGTGCCATCCGAGACCAGCAATGCTCAGCAGATAAGGATAATCTAAGACTTGTAGGTGTCTCAGATCTTCAGACTGTAGAGGCCAAGTCTCAACTCATACCGCAGGAATGCCCCCAATGTGTCCTTGGAAACACGGCCTAGCAAACGGAAGGAAACCCCATTCTGATGCCAAAAAGGTCGGATTCAAGAAAAGCAGTTCTGGCTCTTGCAATACCTGGCAGATGTATTCATGAGCAAATTAGAATACAACTACTGCTACTAGCGGAGTCATTAGCGTATTACCCTATTACGGCCGATATGTTGATGATATATTTTGTGTGACAGACAGTCAATACTGCACAGAGCAAAGTTTATCCCTTTTTAACTCAGCTCACGACAACGCTGAGTTTACCTTGGAAACTGAACGTCATGGTACGATGTCTTTCCTAGACGTCTAAAGCAGCAGATCAGATGGGTCGATACAACGCAGGGTGCACAGAAAAGCCAAGTGGAATGGACAATACATACATTTTGCCAGCTTTGTCCCACTAAGTCAGAAGCGAAACTTGATTAGATGTTTAACCGAAAGGGAAAAAAGAATATGTAGTGAGGACACGCTTTCGGACGAGCTGAATTTCTTAGCTGGCCTTTCTGAGAGAAAGGGCTATCCCGAAAAGTTTGTTCGGAGAAATATCGAGTGCCGAGAATCGAGGGCTAAAACCGATTCGGTTGAAAAGGAATTGGTTTATCTGTCGTTGACGTTCAAAGGGGATGGAATAGCGCAGGCAACGTCTAGAAGGCTATCCGACGCCATAAACCGTACGTACTACGCGGCAAGCCTACGACTAAGATTTACTTCAACACCAATCGTAAGGCTTCAACTCAAGGACAGACTTCCTCGGTCAAGTACTTCTTTCTGTGTATACTCATTTACTTGTTCATGTCGAGTAAGTTATATCGGAAGAATAACCAGGAGACTGTCTGAGAGGATCCGTGACCATTGCCCGAGTTGGCCGTGTACAGGTGAAACTAAAACAGTGACAAGCGCCGTGTTGGCACATCTAGTTGATTTAAATCACCAGGTTGATAGGCATCAAAGTTTTCAGCCAATTTACCGCGTATCTGGATGCTACACACGAGTGGTAAGATGTCGCCTATTAGCAACAGCCGAGGCGATCGCCATCTGTCTCCAGAACCCAGACCTATGTGCACAAAAACAATTCGTTCAGATTCTCTCTCTTCCCTGGCCCCCTATTACAGTAACCCCTGTTGAGAAACATGCAACTGACATGTCACTGACCGTTTGTGAACCAAGCACGTGACCTTGTCATTTAGATGACCTAGACCTTTTAAGTTTACCCTTTGAACTTTACTCCCGTCTGATATTTTAATTCATTTCATTCTTATTAGTTGTGGTGTACCAGCCTGACGAGATCCATCCAAAACGAGCTTGTTCGCTGACTGTTGTTCTGGTAAGTGAATTAATCAACTATCTCTAGTTCCTCGTTATCAAGGGTTAAGGGATCATCAAGTGGCTGGTGTCCTGGAGCAAAACTTCGTACTTTGAAGTTGCAAAGCACAAACCAAATAACAGGACCACTCTAGTGAAACTGTTCAGGGTTGGTTGTGTCGTCGCAACATGGTCGAAAAGTAAGACGATATCGTCCGCATAGTCAAGATCAAGTACCCTTTCAACAGACAGGATCTAAACGGAAAAATCGTGAGATTCCGTAAGGGAACACTCCAGTATAGAATCTACGACGAAATTGAACAACGAGGAAATCGGATAATCCTGACGAACGCAACCTGTGGTCGGAAAGCTATCCGACAGGTCACCGTAGACCATGACGCAGTCTGTAGTGTTCGAGTGTAGAGCACGTAAAATGTTCATATATTTCATAGAAATACCTTTCCGCACAAGTTTTTCGAACAGTATGAAACGATCGAGTGAATCGAACGCACTCATAAAGTCGAGAACACAGATATTGTTGGTCTGTGGTATGCGCGGCGCTACGCTAGCACCGGCCACAGTTTGAATATATGGTCTATACAGCCCCGTCAAGGGCGCAAACCTGCATGCTCTCTCCTAATCCGAGATTGCCGTTCCACAGTGAGGCAACGAACGTGAATCCATGACAGTAATTTTGTCGCAACTGGCGTTAGGCTATTATCCCTGTGATTAGAACAGTCCGTGCGTCTGGCTTTCGTGTATATTGTCACCATAATCGATTCGCTCCAATTAGCCGGGACACTGCCAACCAGATATGATCAAACAGGGAGGTCAGTGCTTTGAAGAGGACCTCACATCCATCCTTAAACATTGCAGATGGGAGGAAATCTGGGTCAGCAGCACGAGAACGATCATCATCATCATCATCATCATCATACACGTTCGCTAGAGGTGGGGAACACCTCAGGTACTGTGCCGCAATATCTAGAAAAAGGAGAAAAAAAGCAACTGGTTCAAGCTGGCTGAGCTAACGGTAACGGAAGAGAATCGTTCCGGTAAGCTACCAGCCGGCTGCTGTGCACCAAAAAAGAAAAAAAATATTATGCAAGATTATATAAGACTAAATAATCAGATCGTGGTTGGAGGGGGAGGCTAAGAGGGATGGGGTGGGACAAAGAAACTCACAGCAAGAACGCCACTGAGGACGGCACCTAGCTATATCAGCAAGTGTGTCCAACCAAACGTGTTCATCGTCCTTTGGGCCCCAACCAGTGAGCCGAGACGCTCCAACCGAGGCCAGCTCAGAAATGAGGGTCTTCATTCCTTTGGACCAAGTTATCGCTTGGCCACCCCTCCTCTTCTTCCATCCACAACCCAGGCGCGCAAACGTCGCA